CTCAACACAGCAAGGGTCCAGCTAGACTGCAGGAGTTTTTCAGGATTCTGGAGATATCCCAGAAAAACTCTTCTGCATCCAGGGTTGCATTTGTTCTTCCGCTTTTTTAGTGGAAGAGCAAACAGGCTCTTTTGGTCACCCCTATATTCCTCTTTCCACAAGGAACAAGGTGGCTTCCAAAAGAAGGGTTTTTTTTCTGACATTTGGTCCAGTCTAGACAGGCCAAATGTTGGAAAAACCTCTTCCTACAGAAGAATTTTTTTGTTTTCTTAAAAAAAACTGCAGCATAAGGATTGGGGATAGCAAGTGATGGAGAGGAGGAGAATAGAGAGAGCGGGGCTTCAAGGAAGGGGCAGGGCTTCAAGGAAGGGGCGGGGTGGTAGATCTTGGCTTGGTCTGTCATTTAAAAAGTGATCTTGGGTGTAAAAAGGTTGGAGACCACTGCTATAATGGATCATATAGAGGTGCCACTCTTCTTCTCCTGAAGGATGAATTCCACTGAATAATATTGAGCCTCCTGGTTGTATTTTTTAAAAGGGTCAAGGAATGTACCAGGTATGTACAGCTGTTATTGGCTACTAGAGCCATAACTATTTGTTAAAGGTTTTTCCTTTGGGTTACTATATTAGGTTGAGAGTGAAGGGAGGAAAGAAGTGTCTATGTGAATCCTCATGACTGACAAAACAAAAATAGTTTTACTAATTAAAATGTCATTTTTATTTGTAAAGTGGCTGCTTGCTTATTACAGATTGAGCTGGTAGCACCTCCTTGTGGTTTAAAGTAAAAGGTTCGGAAATGTGGCTAGTCCCAGGGAGGCGCAGAAACAGGCAAACTATTACTAAATATCTTTTAAACTTTTATTAAAAGGCTTCTATGTATAAATTATTATTTTATCAATTTCTTACATACGTAGGCACCAAATAATTATTAGAATGTCCAATAAGCAAAATGCAATACAGTAAAGAAAATTCCCTGAGGTTTTTCTAAATCCCAATAGTTGTTAACAAGGGACCAGGGATTATTAACAGTTACATTTACATCAGTCTTACTTATAAGACTAATCATTTATCTAAAACTTTTAACACTACGACTTGACTTCCAGCAAAGAGCCTGCTTCCACACTCCTGTTATTGGGGAGAAGGGAGGAGGAGTATATGAAAATCCCAACTGCTAGGCTGGGGGATAAATAATCTCAGAGAAGGCGAACATCCATGTGCTCTGCGATTTGTGAAGGGGGTTGATACTGATGCATTTCCTGCTTTCTTGTGAGTTGGCAGGAGGCAGTTTCCCAAAAATAAGGCCAGCAAGGGGAATGGAAGACACCACTTGTGTTCTCAGTGCACCTGATGTCCCAATGGGGCTCTTTCTCCTGGTTTTGCTACTGATAGGTCATCCAGAAAAGCTGGTGCTTTGTGAGATGGCATGGGGGGAATGGATGGCCTTATGGTTAAGGCATTGGACTGTCTCCCAAATTGGGTGAGGAATAAATAACGAAGAGGACAAGTAACTCATCTAGCAGCTTTCTCAGTGGGCCCACTGACCACTTTGCGAAACACTGATTTAGAAAAACTCTTGCCTAGAGAAAGTTAAAATAACTTCAGATACAAAAAAAGATACATGCATACAAATAGGATAATCGTATTCAGACAATCATAACCTTTCCAATGACCTCTCACATGACTTGACTTGCAATCAATATATCAAAACTATATAATAAGCATATAATACTCTCACTGTGAAGAATATAGAGTGCAGTATCACAGAAATATTTCCTTTTATCAGGTTTGAATTTGAAAGCATCATGTTATTGTACTAAAGGGTACCCAATCAGACTATGGCACTGAATAGTGCACATCTTTAATTTTAATTGTAACATCCTGGAAATCAGTGCTGGATCAAACCATGGGCTGCCTAATCTAATATCCTGTGTCTCATAGTGAAAAATCCAAAAAAACAAGTGGATGACTTAGAATAATCTGCACAAAATGGAAATTACCTATCAATTGCTGGTTTATCTGAAGCATGAATCAGCCCCCTTCTGTGGAACAAAGAAAGTTGTTTTATACTTGTTTTTATCCTTCTAATGAGAAGTGCGGTTGAGCCTGTACTGTTTTTCCTGTATTCCATTTCCATATTCTAGAAGGAATTTTTCAAGCTCTTTCTTGTTTTTATTCATTCTTGGCAAGCACAAGGGGCATGAATGATTGGGACTCTTGTAGATTCAAAGATCAAGTGAGTCTTCAAAGTATCCCTCTGTTGTAAATCATTGTGAGCATGACATAATACTGCAGGAAACAGCTTAGTGAAAGTATGTTCAGTGACCACAGAGAGCTTTCATTTTAAATAAACATACCGAGGGCTCATAGATCGCTTCACATTTGATTTTGTGAATATTTTAAATATATATGTTAGATACTCAGCTTCTCCTTAAATTATTGATAGCATTTGATGACAATATTGCTGTTTTAGAACTCAAAAGTTACATCTATTTTATTTTGTTTTGTTTTTTTTCTTGCACTTCAGGCTTTGTCTAAGTCTAGCTCCCCTGTGAGTTGTGTATGGGAACCAACCATGAAGCAGAATTTTGCCTTTGACAACATTGGCTATGAGGGGAACGCAGAAAATATGCCCTCTCTGTCTCCTCAAACAAGCACCGTCACAGTCAATATTTTGGGTATGACTTGCCAGTCTTGTGTGCAGTCAGTAGAGGACAGGATTTCCAAGGTGAAGGGCATTGTGAGTACTAATGTCTCCCTTGAACAGAGCAATGCTTTAGTAAAATATATGCAGTCAGAAATAAGTCCCGAAGAGATTTGCCAGGAAATTGGAGACATGGGCTTTGATGCCAGCATAGCAGAAGGCAGAACTGCAGCAGCATCTGTAAGACTGACATCTTTGAGAGAAGCACTAATAAAGTTGCGGGTAGAAGGTATGACATGCCAATCTTGTGTCAGTACCATTGAAGGAAAGATTGGAAAACTACATGGCGTGCTGAGAATCAAAGTATCCCTCAGTAACCAAGAAGCGGTCATTGCATACCAGCCTTATATCATTCAACCTGAAGACCTCAAAAACCACATAGATAGCATGGGCTATGAAAGCACTATTAAGAGCAAGCTAGCTCCATTAAAGCTTGGTATGACTAATCTAGAACGTTTACAGACAAGCACAAAGAAATCTCCTTCCAGCCTGAACAATAGCAATGTGGAGCTAGTGGTGGGCAAAATGAATAGTACAACGTCAATGACACTGGGAATAGAAGGAATGCATTGCAAGTCTTGTGTCAAAAACATTGAAGGGAATATACCAGGTCTTCCAGGAGTACAAAGTATTAAAGTGTCATTGGAACATAAAAATGCTGTTGTGGAATTTAACCCAAAGGTAATTACCCCAGTAGCTTTGCAGCAAGCCATTGAGGCCCTTCCACCTGGTAACTTTAAAGTGTCCCTCCCTGATGTAATGGAAACAAGTAATGGAGAGCTTTTATCAAAAGCAGCATTTTCATCATCTCCGTTTGGTAGCACTCGCTCTGGGGATCAACTGACAAGCACAACTATATTTAGTATTGATGGAATGACCTGTAGGTCGTGTGTACAGTCCATAGAAAGCACAATGTCCCAAAGGAAAGGGGTACAACATATATCTGTTTCGTTAGCTGAGAAGACTGGAACAGTATGCTATGATTCAGCGGTGACTAATTCAAAAGAGTTAAGAGATGCCATAGAAGACATGGGATTTGATGCTTCCATTCTCACAGGTACAGTGTATGTTTTCTATAAGTAATATTGTAAGATAGGAGAAAATTTTAAAAATGTATTTCTAAAATCATAGAATCATAGAACTGGAAGGGATCTTGAAAGATCATCAACTCCAGTCCCCTGCCCACACGGCAGGACCAAACACCATCTATATCATCCCTGATAGGTGTCTGTCTAACCTGCTCTTAAATATCTCCAGTGATGGAGATTCCATAACCTCCCTAGGCAATTTATTTCAGTGTTTAACCACCCTGACAGTTAGGAACTTTTTTCTAATGTCCAATTTAAACCTCCCTTGCTGCAGTTTAAGCCCATTGCTTCTTGTCCTATTATCAGAGGCTAAGGAGAATGATCTCCCCTCCACCACTTTCTCCCTGTGACACCCTTTCAGATACCTGAAAACTGCTATCCTGTCCCCTCTCAAGCTTCTCTTTTCCAAACTAAACAAGCCCATTTCCTTTGGCCTTGCCTCATAGTTCATGTTGTCTAGACCGTTCGTCATTTTTGTTGCTTTTCTCTGGACCTTCTCCAGTTTCTCCACATCTTCCTTGAAATGTGGTGCCCAGAAGTGGACACAGTATTACAAATGAGGCCTAATCAGTGCAAAAGTAGAGTGGAAGAATGACTTCTCATGTCTTGTTCACAAAACTCCTATTAATGCATCCCAGAATGATGTTTGCTTTTTTTGCAACAGGGTCACAGTGACTCATATTTAACTTGTGGTCCACTGTGACACCTAGATACCTTTCTGCACTACTCCTTACTAGACAATCACTTTCCATTCTGTATGTGTGAAACTGACAGCACCAAAAGTAGAGATGGAACCTACTGATGGGACAAAACAAAAAGTTGTATGAAAGCCATCAAAATTCTTTGCTGATTAAAATAGCATCTAAGGATCTTCGCTCCGTGGACTTTGATTTAGCAAGTCTAGTAAAGACTGGCTAACTTGAACTTGGAGCGTACCCCTGAGCAAACCTCTCGTGGTAGGGACGCCTGCCGCCAAACTGGCTGTGTCTGCTGCAGCTGCAGCAGCAGCTTCTCACTTGGCCCCAAGCTGCTGCAGCAAGAGAGGGCTAGGGATGTCCTCTCTCCTCAGGGCAGCCTGCATACTGAACCCCTTTTCCCCAGCCTCACTCGTGACTAAGGAAACCAAGATGACAAGGCCAATAGTCATCCTGTCTTTTGAAATACCTTGGATATTTCTGTTGTTAAATGTGTTTCCAGTTTGCTGCTTTGAAACGTTTCATCATGTTCTGCTAACCCATGTTAATTCTACTTATTCTGTGTTTATTCTAGATACTCCCACTTGGAAATACATGGATCAACCTCTTTTCAGGGATGCTGCGAATCAGCCTAATGCTTGGGAGTCAGCTTCCCAGAAAACAGAAAAAGGTTCTGAACCATCTCTTCAAGGCTTCATGTCTGATGCCCAGCCAAAGAATTTTTACGTTGCTAGTCCAAAGCTGCCCAGTGCAGCGACAACAGAAAAGTGCTTTATGCAGATCACAGGCATGACCTGTGCATCATGTGTGTCAAACATTGAAAGAAATCTGCAAAAAGAAGATGGTAAGATGTCAACCATTCTCTAAAGTCCTGGGATCTTCTGGAAGTGAAAGATACTGCATTCCCTCAATAGTAATTAATACCTAGCTTTTAACATCCATAGATCTCAATGTGCATCACACAGGTCACCAGCTTTCCAGTATCATCCCACTTTACACATGGGAAAGCGGATTCTCTAGGGCTATGGCTACACTACCGTTTTTTTTTAGGAAGAGGATATGCAAATTGCGCTTGCATTTGCATATCTTCTTCCACATCTTTTTGCAGAAGAGGTTTTGCCAATAAAAAGCCCCGTGCTGTTTGTCGGAAAAAAAACCCCCTCTTTCGCAATATCCTGTAAACCTCGATTTTTGAGGAATAAGGGATCTCGTGAAAGAGGGCTTTTTCTGACAAATGGCCCCAAAAAATGTGAGTGACGAGGGTTTTTTCTGACAAATGGCCCCAAAAACACGGGGCTTTTTATCAGCAAAACCTCTTCCGCAAAAAGTCAGATAATCCTCTTCTGCAAAAAAAAAAAAAAAAAAAAAAAAACCCAGCAGTGTAGCCATAGCCTAGGAGGGAAGTGACTTGTCCAAGGTCACCCAGCAGGACAGTGGCACAGTCTGGAATTGAAACAAAGTCTCCTGATCCCCAGTCTACTAGTCTCCTAAAGCTCTGTTGTTCTTATCCAGGTTTACATGTGTTTTTGTGGTTAGATGTAATTAATACTCTTATTTACATAATTACATACTCTCATTGATATTAGCCATACTACTATATTCAACCTGTCAGTGACTGTACCAGTTGGTGGATATACTGGATAGTAGTGATAGGTGGTGGACAGACCCATAGTAAGAAGCAGCCTTATCCCAAAGAGTATCCAATCTGATTGTTATCTTTTTCCAATGGGAAGTGCATGAATAAATTAAAGGGAATAATGTGTATCTTGAGAAAAGGAAGCTTTTGTCCTATTTTGTCAAGATCCTCGTGCATAACGCTGGAGTGGAGAGAGTGATTATTGCTACTCAGTATCCATGCATTATATTACTGGGGTGCTCCTTGGTTATCAATTGCATTTTATGTGCCTCAAAGGAGGTATAGTGTCTAATATAACCCAATTACTTCCATTGCAGGTATCATTTCGGTGCTAGTAGCACTGATGGCAGGAAAAGCCGAGATAAAATACAAGCCTGAGAGCATTCAGCCCCTTGAAATAGCACAGCTGATCCAGAACTTGGGCTTCAATGCTACAGTCATAGAAGATCATACTGGCACAGATGGCACTATGGAGCTTATTGTGAGTATCATGGCTAGGAATGTAAAGGGTTAGGGGTTCGAGTACAAGTTGGACAGGAATGTCTCTTTGCAAATGAGTCTATTTTAGTGGTTATGTTTTCAGTCAGCATCACAGCTGTGCAGGGATGTAAAAGGTTCAGTAGTAAGTCTCACCCTTAACAGGTGAGGTTTACCAGTTCCAGATAACTGGTAGGGGCTGGAGCAGCTCCCTGCCCACCCTGGGCGAGAGGCTGCAGCAGCAAGGGGCCCACCACAGGCAGGGATTGCTCTGACCAGTTGGCCAGAGCATCCCCTGTCTGTGGCGCTCTGCAACAGGTTACACGCTCTGGCTCCCTGGAAATGAGGCTTGCAGGAGCTCAGAGCCCACATCGAAGCCTCTCCAGGAGCAGGGCCAGCAGTCCTTGTCAGCCCCGCTCCCTGGGAGGCGGCTTCGCTGGAACAGTGAAGCCTTCCCGCCCAGGAGTGAAGTCAGCAGCCCGTGCCAGCCCCACTCCTAAGGAGGTGGCTTCACTGCAGGCTCTGCAGTATAAAGCAAAGCTGAACTTTATACTGCAGAGCCTGCAGCACATGTAAACGTAGAACTAAGATTTATTTGGTGGGTACACAGGTAACCTTTTAAAATAACTTTTTACATCCCTAGTGCTGGCTGATGATGATTTCCTTAACTAATAAAATGATTCTAAAGGGCAAAATTGTTTCTATGTATTAGGTAAAGAAATAGGAACAACTACCCAAGTGTACAGAAGAGCCTTTGCTTGGCAGGAAAACACCGCACTCCTCATGAATACAGTGCAAACCTATTTTTTGTCAGTTTCACAAGCAATGTAAACTTTTTCTTAACTTTGAAAAGTCCCAATCAATCAGCATTAACACATCTTCAGACTTGTTAATGCTTTTTTCTTTTATGGCTAGAATAATGGTGATCAAATGCATAATAATTAGAGCCCTGGAACTCTGCGGATATCTGCTTTGTATCTGCTGATGCGGTTGTATTGTTTGCCCTGTTTGTGGTTCATGGATTGGATGCAGATCTATATTTTTGTATCCATGCACTCTTAACAGTGAGACAGGGTAAAAGGTGGCATGTGTTAGTATGGATTGAAAACAAGTTAATTATTGCATATGCAGATTGGATGTGGATCCACATTTTTGTATCTGCATAGATGTTTATTAATAACAGCTGAAACTTCATGCAAAGATTGTATATACACTTTGCAAAATGTTTATACAGGGCCAATTACTACTATGCCCTATTTCCATCTTCTGAAATAAAGGCTGATTCTCTGCTTCTCCCTCCCTTCACCAGTCCCGCATTGCTCTCAACTGTAGAGATCACTAACTGCATTTACATTTCTGTCTTCAGATTACGGGGATGACTTGTGCTTCTTGTGTTCACAATATTGAATCCAAACTAACCAGAACTAATGGCATCTTCTATGCCTCAGTAGCACTTGCTACCAGCAAAGCTCACATCCAGTTTGATCCTGAAATCATTGGGCCTCGAGATATTATACGAATTATTGAGGTAAGTCATTAAAACAAGCCAGTATAAAATATACGGTGATGTTAAAACAAATGGAAGTGACTAAAAGTGCCGAAAGGCTTACTGACATTTGCAGCTTTAGATAAAGTACACTTTCCTGTATGGGAAACAGCCAGTAGTGTATGGTCAGTGGGGGCTACATACTTCAAAGGGTAGCCATCAGGGACATTCACCATTTCAGTGGGTTTTTTTTAAAGTATCAATACCCAGTACAAGTGTGATGCACCCCTTTGTTACTGCTCAGTGTGCTGCATCAGGGACTTTTCTGAACTGCAGATAGGCCAATAGAACATTTCCTCAAATTCCTCTCCACAGGAGACTCTGAGAGCATTAAACCCAGGTAAATACCCCTTTGAAAATGTACAGTAGAACCTCAGAGTTACAAATACCAGAGTTACAAACTGACTGGCCTCCTGAGAGGCTGCACAAGTGCACAGCTTACAAGGAACATTGCCCAGGATCAATCCCTGGGGCACTCCCCTTGATGCCAGCAGCCAACCAGACGTTGAGCCATTGATCTCTACCCTTTGAGCCTGACCATCTATCCAGCTTTCTGTCCACCTTATTGTACATTCTTCCAAGCCATGCTTCTTTAATTTGTCAGCAAGACTGCTGTGGGAGACCATATCAAAAGCTTTGCCAATGTCAAGATATATCTTGTCCATTGCTTCTTCTTTGAATGCTTGCTCATGTCCATTCTGATTAGGTGTACGTGCGCTGCGTGCATGGATTCCGGAGCTTTTTTCCCTTAGCAGTATCCATAGGGCCAGCAGGGAGCCCCCTGGAGTGGCGCCGATATACTGGTGCATATATACCCCTGCTGGCCCCTCCACCCCCTCAGTTCCTTCTTACCGCCCGTGAGGGTAGCTGGAGCATGCTTTCAGGCTGTTAGCCTATCTCTTAGCAGTTGTATTTCCTTTATCTGTTGTACTATAGTTAAATTTGTAGTTTTATCTAGTTAACAGCTACTTAAGTACTGTAAATAGTGTAATTAGTTAGATAGGGGAGCACAGCAGGACTCTCCCCGTAAGGGGAGAGCATGCCAGGGCCCCAGGGTTTTAAACCCTGTGCTTCCTGCTCTAAACCTATTCCCTATGGAGATCCTCACTCCCACTGCCTGAAGTGCCTGGGAGAAGCCCATTGAGCAGAAAGCTGCTCTATTTGTAAGAGCTTTAAGCCCCGGACCAAGAAAGAGAGGGACTCCCCGTTGAAGCTTCTATTAATGGAGTCGGCACTGCAGCCCCAGGGCGAGGAGCGCCCCCTCTCCATCCGCAGCACGCCGTCAGCCGCACCTGTGTCAAGCACCAGTCAGAGGCCGATAAGGCGCCAAGGCATAGGTCGCAGTCCCCGACGCCGAGAGGCTCCAAGGGCTCAAGGGGACGCTTAACGGAGAGGAGTGCCCAGAAGGTGCGCCCTAAGGAGGAGCACCTGTCTTCTAAGGCCTCAAAGAAGAGGCGCAGCCCAGACAAGGGCAGGAGCTCGGGTCTGCCCGCAGGGATAGGGGAGGTCCATTGTCCCTCCATCCCAGAAACTTTTGAGGCGGCCCGAGACCTCATTGAGATGGCCGTGGAGGAAGAAGAGGGCCCGGTGCCGCAGGGGCGGACTGCGCTGGTGCAGGGCTCAAGCGCCCCCCAGCAGGCTCTGACAGCTGGGCCGTGGGACTCTCTGGGCGAGGTGCAGGCCTCGGCCCAGCACCAGCAGCAATTCCCGGTGCCAGCAAGAGCACCGGCTCCGGATCCAGGACGGACACTGGTCTCGACCCTGGCCCCCTATCCAGCAGCAGCGGCAGTGGCACGGGGAGCGAGTGCGCTTGCGGCACCGACGACCCCGGTACTTGGGCACCCAACGGCCTATACGGCACCAGTGCAGGGGCCAGCACCGCAGCTGGGCCCGTGAGCAGTGCAGGGGCCCACACCATATTATGTGCCAGTTATGGCACTGCAGCTGGTGCCCTGCACAGCACCGACGCTGCTGTCTCTCCCCGCACCGATCCCAGCTCACGCCCTGGAAGCACCGGTACCGCAACAGACTGCGGTGCAGCAACAAATGGCGGCACCGGTTGCTTATTTACCGGCCTACCAAATGCAGCTGGGCACGGTACCGCCACAGCACGTGCCTCCACTTATGTAGTCAGAGGCTGAATCGGTGACATCAGCCCGGTCATCGTACAGGTCCTGATCCCGTCATAGCTCTTATTCAACTATTAGAGGTGCAAGCGTCATCAGCTCCTCCCTGCTTGGCATCGGACTATTTGTCAGAGTCAGAGGCTGAATCGGTGACATCAGCCCGGTCATCGTACAGGTCCCGATCCCATCATAGGTCTCGTTCAACTATTAGATTGGGTCACCAGGACTCAGCGGACCAGCAGCAGTGGCAGGGACAACCCCAGTGGCCATTCTAAATGCCCTGGGCTTACCACCAGGCCCAGGGGCCCCCTCCTACGGTGTCGGTGGCTGGGTCATCCCGAAGGAGTAGCGCCCCATCAGCCACCCCATTAAGAGCCCCTCCACCTGAGGAGAGCCCGTCCATGGCGACAATGCCTAGGCCTCAAGTAATCGACCAAGGGCAGGAGGCTACGACCCAGCCGGGCTCGGCCCAGATGGGCATTTCGGCTGGAGGGGAACCGGAGGCGCAGCTCGGTGGGGATGAGGTAGTCCCTCCAAGAGAGTCCTCATTGTCATCACCAGACGAAGCTCTGGCAGACTCTGCACCTCGGCCCCCTTAAATGGACGCAAGGGCACACCAGGAGCTGCTCCGAAGGTTGGCAGTTAACCTAGCGGTCCAGCACGAGGAGGTCCACGAGGACCAAGATCTTATGGTGGACATTCTCACGGCAGCGGGCCCTGGGCGAGTGGCACTCCCACTGAATAAAATGGTGGACAAGCTGTCAAAGACTCTGTGGCAGACACCGGCCTCCATTGCGCCGACCCAGAAAGGTGTGGAGAGGCGGTACTACGTACCTCAAGCGGGGCACGAGCATCTTTTCAACCATCTAGCCCCGGGGTTGATAGTAGTGCAGGCCGCGGGGCAGAAGGAGCGTCAAGGGCCTCCGGGCCCCACCCCAAAGGTGAAAGAGCCCAAGAAATTGGACCTGCTTGGTCAGAAGGCCTATGCCACGGGGGGTCTTCAGCTACGTATAGCTAACCAGCAAGTGATGCTGGGGCGTTATGCCTTTAACACGTGGGCAGCAATGCAAAAATTTGGCAGCCAGCTTCCCCCTGAATCCCGACAAGAATATGGGGCCATGACAGAGGAGGGCAAAGCAGTAGCGTGTACGTCCCTCCAGGTGGCTCTGGATGTGGCCGATTCAGCTGCCTGCACTATGGCTACTGGGGTGGTCATGAAGCGTAATGCGTGGCTGCAAGTGTCCGGCATCCCGTCCAAGGTGCAGACCACTATCCAGGACCTACCTTTCGAAGGGTCGGGCCTGTTTTCAGAGCAGACTGACTCCAAGCTTCATAGCTTGAAGGACTCAAGAGCGACACTGAAGTCGCTAGGGATACACACCCCGGCCCCGCAGAGGCGTTCCCTCCAGGCTAGAAGCTATCCCAGACACTTTCAGTGGGGGCAAAGCACTGATAGGGGCCGCAACAATAGCCGCCCCGACCTCTTTAGAGCAGGCGTAGAGGTCCTCGGTCAGACTCCGAGAGAGGCGCAGGGCCGTCACCTGGCCACCAGACTAAGCCTTCATTTTGAAGGTACGCTGGGGAGCAGAGTACCAGTCACACCTATCTACCCACCCTTTGGGTACCGTCTTTCCCTTCTTTACCAGGAATGGGTAAAGATCACGTCGGACCGCTGGGTCCTAGACCTGGTAAAACAGGGGTATGCTATCCCCTTCCTTTCCTACCCTGTCCCCCACTCTCCCTCCCTGTCCCTTTTCAGGGACCCCTCTCACGAGACACTCCTCCAGCAGGAAGTGTCCAACCTGCTGGCACTAGGGGCTATAGAAAGAGTGCCCCCAGAGATGAGGGGAAAGGGTTTCTACTCCTGCTATTTCCTGGTATCCAACGCGAAGGGGGGCATGCATTCCATATTAGACCTACGAAACCTGAACACCTTCATAAGAAAAGCAAAGTTCAGGATGGTGACACTGGCTTGCATCATCCCATCGCTCCAAAAGAGGGACTGGTACGCTGCTCTCGATCTCAAAGATGTGTACTTCCACATTTCAATTTTTCCAAGTCACAGAAAGTTCCTATGGTTCGTGGTGGGACAGGACCATTTCCAGTTTACGGTCCTCCCATTTGGGCTGTGTACAGCCCCGAGGGTGTTTACCAAATGTATGACAGTGGTAGCCGCGTTTCTGTGGCGGCACAGGGTCCAAGTGGACTATTGGCTGCTAATGGGCACATCTCGAGAACAGGTGCTAGATCATGTCACACGGGCGAGGGCTTTGTTCGGGAGCCTCGGCCTACTCATAAACGACGCCAAATCCTCATTAGACCCCATGCAGGTGATAGACTTCGTGGGGGCCCATTTAGACTCGCCCGCGGGAAAGGCGTCTCTACCGAGGGACAGATTCCTTGCTATCCGCTCGTTGGTAGCGGAACTACAGGAGTTTCCCACTACAACGGCAAGGACCTGTATGAGGCTCCTAGGCCACATGGCGGCGTGTACTTATGTGGTCCAACACGCTAGGCTGCGCATGCACCCATTGCAGGGGTGGCTCAAAGTAGCACACAACCCTTTGAGGTCGCCATTGGATGTGGTGGTGACTATACCTCAGGAGATCCTATGCTCACTAGACTGGTAGAAGGACGAGGGCACGATTCACCAGAGCGTCCCCGTCAGTGCAACTGGTCACGGACGCTTCAGACATGGGGTGGGGAGCTCACCTGGACAGCCTCAGGATGCAAGGTATGTGGTTGCCAGTACCCCAGAGCCAGCAGCATAGAAACCAGCCGGGTACCCCCACGACGTCACACCATGGTGGCTCAGCAGAGGGTGCAAGCATCCTCGGCCCCTCCCTGGTTGGCATT